TTCACACTTCTCTTGAGAAAGCAGTATTTCTGGCATTTTGTGATCTTCATTAGCAAGGGGAAGGTGTGGCTCCTTTATTTTTCAAATGTGGAGTTTTTTTTCTCTTTTCCACACCTCTGAGATTTTATGAATTAGGCTAATTAAAATTTGACATTGTACTAATTGTAATGAGAAGAGCAAGGTGCAGTAAGAATTAGAAGACCTGAATTTGAGTCTCATAGAGTCCCAGGGATACCTCACTGGAGATCTCTTGCAAAGCCATTGAATCATTAACACTCACTCTTAGGGTCTGACCATGAATCTGACTGCGTTTGGTATTTAATCCATATCTCCATCTTTCCCATAAGAATAGCACAAAATACTTCATCAAATGCTGTGCCAAAAATCTAGGTAAATTATATTGGCTTCATTTCCCTGATCTACCAGTTTACTAACCTTGTGAACAAAAGTGAAAAGTCCTAGATGATGCCATATTGGCTCTTTTTAATTACTGCTTCTTTTCTTAAATGTTCACTATCCATCCATCTCTCTCTCTCTCTCTCTCTCTCTCTCTCTCTCTCTCTCTCTCTCTCTGGAAATGAGGTTAAGTGACTTGTCCAGAGTCACACAGCTATTAAGTGTCAAGTATCTGAGGCTGAATTTGAACTTGGGTTCTCCTGACTCCGGGGCCAGTGTTCTATCCACTGTGCCACCTAGCTGCCCCCATTATCCATCTTTTTAATGGTTTATTCTAGGATTTTTCCCAGGAAATGAAGTTAATCCACTGGACTATATTTTGATGATTTTATTCTCTTCATTTTTTTTTTTTGAAAACTGAACATTGATCTTTTGGCAATATGTTCCACATTTTCCATAGTTGAAAGAGCTATCACCAATGGTAGCTTAGCAAACATATTTGCTGATGCCTTCAGTACCTGAGGAAATAATTCATTTTGGCTGGGTGACTTGATTCACCAAGGACAATTAGGTACTCCTTTATTATCTTTGGTAATAACTAGAGGTAGAGAGGCAATGTGGCATAGTATATAGTGGGGGTGGAGGAGGAGGGAATAAGCAATTATCTCACCTCCTATGTGCCAAGTACTGTTCTAAGTGGTTTTTTATAAATATTTCATTTGATTCTCTCAACAGCCCTGTGAGGTAGGTTCTTTGTAGGTATTTTATAGTTGAGGAAACTGAGGCAAACAGAGATTAAGTGACTTGGCCAGAGGCACACAGCTAGTACATGTTTATGGAAGGATTTGAACTCAAGTCTTCCTGACTCCAGACCCAACACTCAATTCACTGTGCCATCTTGCTATACTGGACTTGGAGCCAGGAAGAACGTGATTCTGATCTTGCCTCTGATGCTTAAGTGCTGCGTGATTGTGGCCAAGTCCATTATCCTCTTTGAGCTCAGGTTCTTTATCTGTAACATGGGAGATGGTGAACAAGATGACCTCTCAGGGCCTTTTCAGCCCTCAGTCAACCACCTCCCTCTTTATTTTTGTTCTGCTATTTCCAGTGTGAGGTCATCACTGTTGTCAGTAAAAAAAGAAAGTCAGTTGAGTAGTTCTCCCTCCTTTTTCTCCCTTATATGTTATTCTACCCACCATAAGCAATTGTTAGTCCCTTCTTTGATATTCAGGTTTTCCCCCAAATAGCTCCCTTCCTTCTCCAGACTGAGCTCATTCTGAACTTTAGCATATTCTTGACACTCTTTTTTTTTCCAAGAGGAAAGCACGCTAATAGTTATCCTGATGCCTGTACTTGTTTCCATCTTTTACATATCTTTAAAAAAAAACATGTGAATCAGTTGGTATATTTTCTGTGGATCCACATTGGTCTCTTTCCACAACCTCCATTTTTCCTCCTAGTTTTGTAATTATTTCATTTTGTGTCTTCTTCCAAATTTAATACTTGAGAGTTTTTTTTTCTACTTCTCTTGGTATGCTTTCCCTTGCAGAATTTGTCACTGAGATTCCATCTACTTTTCCTTTAAACCCCAAGAACTCTGTTTTTCTCCAAATTCAGGGTGTATGGAAGATTGTATTATGACTTTCCTTTCTTTATCACAAACTTTAGGAACAAGTTGTTACTTTCCACCAAGTTCTTATCATTTCTAGCCTAGTAATCCATTCCTCCCTGCTAGTGAAAATCAGACCTGAATAGAATTTCCCTCATTGGTTCCTCCATCTTTTGAAAAATGAAATTATCATTAAAGAAAGTCAAAACATTTTTCACTGTTCTACTTTGAAAGAGAGAGAGAGAGAGAGAGAGAGAGAGAGAGAGAGAGAGAGAGAGAGAGAGAGAGAGAGAGCTCAACCAGGTTGCCTTTTACAGGATTATAGAATTAGAGCTGGAATAGAGGCCATCTACATGACTTATTTATTTTATGAATGAGGAAACTGAGACCCATGCAGATTGCCCAAAGTCACACAGATCCTATGCATTGAAGGCAGCATTTAAAACCAGGTCCTCTTGATGGGGTGATGGGACCTCGCTCCAAAAAAGGAAAATGTCTTTTATCTTTGAAAGCAACCCAGTCTCTGAATTTTCCCATGCATTTTGGCAGCCCAGATCACTGGTGTCTCACCTAAGGCATCTGGCTGTCCCAGCCCACCTAGATACTTGGCAGTTTTTTCACAGGTCACTCTTGACCCACCCCAGACTGCTTTACTCCTTTCACTAGTGCACTTTGCCCACCCCAGGCTATTTGCCACTCCTTGATCCTATCAAGATCTTTTCACTGTTCTTTTTTGTTATTTAAATATCAGTCTCACCTTCATTAAGGTGCAGATTCACTAGGAATCTAGCCTGTTTCTATTGTCCTTATAAATAAACCTTTCCACTTTGAGTAGAAGAAGGTTTGAGTTCATGAATTCTTTCCAGGAGGATACTGCCCTGTACTCTGACACTTCAGGGTTCCCAGCAACCCCAAACTGCATCACTCTGACTCCAGAGTCAAGCCTCTTTCCATTATGATGGACCAAATTGTGAAATCTGTAAAAATTTTCTTTTCTCCTATTGTAGAGTTAAGGAAGCTATATTCTTGGCAACTGTCCTCTTCCCTGAGAGAAAATAAACAAAAAAACAAAAGATTTTTTCATTTCAAGAGCTAAAATGTTTCCTTCTAAACAATAGAGTTTTATTTTTAGAGGAAACCTGGTATTCTTTCCTCTCCAACTACTTAAATACTTTGCTAATTTATCACTCTCCTTCATCTCTGCCTTGTATGAACAATTCACCATGCAGACCTCTTTGTAGATATCTATTTCTTGCCACAGGAAGTGTTACATGTGAAGGAAACCAGCTGCAGCAGAAGTATGCGATACTTAAATCCCTCTTAAGAAAGTCTCTTTAGAACTCAGATGTGAAGTCTGGTCTGTAGTCTGTTTCCTTTGCCATTCAGAATTCATGGAGAAACATGATTTCATTGCTGGATGAGAGCATCCCATCTACCTCTAAGGAACTGGGATGAGGCAGGGGATACATACATTCAGTATTCTAGGTATTTAGAAGAAAAGACCTGAAAGAGAAAAAACTAACCCAAAGGAGCTTTCTGATTGGTGATGCCAAAGATTGGTAAGTAACATTTATAGTACTGAGCTTTCATTTGCGACCATTTGTATAGTAAACAGTTTGAATTTTTGACTCTTTGCTTGGGGTGGCCTGAGCTAAAATCTTAAATGAACAGATATGTAAATGCAAAGTGAATTGGCTCATTGACTCAATTGCAATAAACCAACTAACCTTTGTATTGTTCAGTACAATTACTGCCAAGCTAAACGGTGCACTCCCACCATGCTGCCATTCAAATGCCTTTATTCAACACATTATATCCTGGTGCTGGTTGACTTTTGTTATAGGCCTCCCCACTGAGTCCACAGAGTAGCACAGGGGGAACACCTAGCAATGCCTGGGGCAGGATTTTGATTACTTCACTGTCAGAAGCAAAATAAGCAGTACAGATACATCAGAGATTGGCCTTGGTGCAGTCTGAAAGAATAACCACCCAATTAGGCATTCTGTTTCTTTCCCTATTTGAAGTCCCTGCTTTATTCTGCATTGTTTGACTGCTTTGTACCTTTGACTTTGAAGATTCTGGGACATTAAAATTGCCCTTGATGTTTTGACTGGTTCATATCATAATGGTAAACTTATTATTTAAAATCAGTTAATCAACAACCATTTATTGTCTACTACATACCATGTACCTGTGTTGGGCATGGGGGGGATACAAAGACAAAAATGAAATAATTCCTGCCCTGGTAAAGTTTATATTCTGCAGGTAAGTTGACATGTGCAGTTAACTATAGATATATACAAAATAGTCCCAAGGAAATGTGGACACTAGAAGCTGGGTGGATCAGGGGAGGTATATGTAAGGCTGGAAGGCTATACTGGGAGAGGCCTTAAGTGCTAAATAGAGGAGTTCATACTTGAAGTTAGAAACAATAAGGAGGCATTCCAGTTTATTGAACAGAAGAGGGAAATGGTCTAACATGTCTCTTAGCAAAGTCTCTTTGGCACCTGTAAGGAGAATCTGAATAAAGAGTGCGCTTTCTCAATGGTAATTAAGAAGTACTTCATTACTTCCATTTCCTATTCTTAACTGATATTTTTAATGTATATTTCTTTTGATTTTGCTAGTTTTCAGACCATCCTAAAACCGACTGCATCATGACAGGAAATAGTTAAATCCATCTCTAAGACTCATTACTACTCTTCCAATTGCATCTAGCTTAAATATACATAGCAACTTATCTATAGTCTTTGGCATGTTGCCAAATCCCATCTACTTTATAGAGTACTGTTATAGCTGTTTTTCCCTCTGAGCATGCCATAAGAGTAAGAACTCAAACTTCAACATGAAAATTCCTCCCAAGTAGGAGCTTACTGTTAATCTCAGCATTTTCAGCTCAATACACCTCTTCTCCATAAAAGCACAGCTTTATTGATTTTCATATTTGTCCTGCTTAATGACCTTCTTCCACATATTGTCTTCCATTCAGACCTGTAGAAGCTTGGAGCTCTTTGAACATTACATCACATTCATTAAATGTTGATTCAGATGTTAAGTGAGTAATCTTGTCATAGACAAACTCCCATGTACAGCTTGACTTTCCGGATGTAATCCTCTGGTGACTACTCAAGAATCTATTCAGGTAGGCATTGTTAATTCATTAAAGAAATATGTGTTTAAATTATTTACACTCTATTTTGAGGAGCCAAATCTAGAATTTCTTTACATATAGTGCCTACCACTTGCAAAATCTTTATTCAGGGTTCCAGAATTTTTGTTGGGAGTGTTTTTTCTTCTTATGCACCACCAAATTACAGAGAGCAATGTAATACTAATGTTGAAAATACCCCCCTCTGTATTTTTAATGCTAGTTGGTTTCTTTGAGGACAAAGAGCTAAATATCATATTAGAATGTTGTGAGATTCCAATGAAAATGTGTATGTGGAAACACTTTACAAACCTTAAATTGCTATATAAATGTAAGCTATTATCATTATTATTGATAGAAAAATATGAATATTATGTCTCGCTACTGTTGTAGTGAGGTGAGCTAACACATAGACATATGGACACATATACGAACCTGAAACAAAATTGAAACATCTTTTGTCATCCTACAGTAGGGCTAAGAACTAATTAATTATAGATTTACTTCACGGATTTTTTTTTCTTTCCCTTTCATTAGATAACCAAAGTGCCCAACTAATCCTATCATATGGCTCATAGTAGAGTCTATAGTGTTTTCAATTATAAAAGATGTGTTGCTCCCTGTGGGGTTACCTATGTACATTCAAATGAGCATATTTGATAGGAGAGGTTTTTCAATTTTTAATGTTTCTAATTGAAAACTTTAAAAGAGATATACCAGCTTACTGACCTATGGGGGCACAGGCTGTCAACAAGATGCCTTAGTTCTACTTCAGCTCCTAAGAGTTTGGATTCCATTTGTTTGAAAAGATTACTTGATGAGAGCACACACTGAGTTCCTGACTATTCCTGGACCATACCAACGGCTTTATTGTTATCACATTTTGGCAAGGGTGGCAGTTGACACTTCCCCTCTGCCCTGCTCCCTTCATTCAAATTCCAGCTAAAATCCTACCTTCTGTAGGAAGTATTTCTCAATGCTGCCTAATTCTAGTGCCTTCCCCCCATTGATTATTTCCAACTTGTGCTGTACATAGCTTGTTTGTATGTATTTATTTGCCTACTATCACCCTTACTAGATTGTGGGCTCCTCAAGGGCAAGGAAGAGTCCTTCACTTTCCCCTTGTCTATTGAAAAGGCACCCAAAATCCTTTTAGTAGTTGGGTGAGGGACTAGAATTCAGATGTAAAAGGATCTGCTGTGAGCTAGAACCAGCTCAAACTGAGAGCTAATTGTGCAATTTACACTTTGGAAATTGGTAACTGAATCAAATGAAGGCCTGGTACATTGTTTTGTCAATTATCTAGACTTAGTGAAGTGATGAAGAAAATGTTAATAATGCAGATCAAATTTCAAAAATGCCTGGCAATCAGTTTTCTTTTCCAGAGATCCAGTTGTTTAACATTTACGAGCACACAACTGTCTAGGATCATTGGATGTAAAGCTAGAAGAGATTTATTTTCCCAAAGAAGACATTGAGGCATAGAAAGGTCTATCAGTAAATAAGCATTAATTTACTGCTATGTGCTAGGCATTATGCTAAGCACAGGAGAAACAAAATAAAGCAAAAAGATTATCCTTGCCCATGAGGAGATATCACTGAGGAACATCTTGACTCATGCATAAACTGGATTTAAGTGAGGCAGAGTTGCAAAAAGTTGTCAGCCTCACTCTCTTTTCCAGAGTCATCGAAGTACAGTGCCAAGACAAAAGTCAAAATGACTGGCAATCGGGGCAGCTAGGTGGCGCAGTGGATAGAGCACCGGCCCTGAAGTCAGGAGGACCCGAGTTCAAATCTGACCTCAGACTAAACACTTGACACTTACTAGCTGTGTGACCCTGGGCAAGTCACTTAACCCCAATTGCCTAAAAAAAAAATGACTGGCAATGGTCTGGGATGCAGTGGCTGCCTTTGGTATCTTTGATGTCTGACCAAGCTGTAACCATTCCATAGCTCCTGCTTCAGCTGCCTTCATGCCACCCATTTTACCAGAAGTCTTCATATGCTTGAGGTAGACATCCCACCCCACCTCACTGACAAGTTTATGACCCATTGGTTACCTTCAACTTTGTTTAGCCTAGCTGCCAACACAGTTTCCTAAGGTATGGTCATTGCTCATGCTATAGTTCCTTGGAGCCACAGGTGAGCGTTGAGTGCCAGGTAGACACCAAAGGTTGGTGAGCAGCCCTGAATAGGACTTGGCAAGCCCTTGCCCCCGAGATGCTAGTCTTCCTGGAACACTCCACATACCCCTGTAGGCGGTAGGGAAGCAGCCAGTAGATAAAGAGAGACTGAAGTAAAGAGAGTGGGGATAATTGAAAGGGCAATCTGTTGGAGAAAATACAATGGAATGGGATCATTTGTTCATGGGGAGGTGTTGGTCTTGGCAGAGAGAAGGGTTACCTCCTCATGTGAAACAGAAAGAAGGAGGAGATAGTGGTAGAAGGCATGTGAATGATGTGAAATAAGGGGAGGAAAAAAGGGAGCTCTTAGCAAATGGTCCCAATTTTGTCAGTAAAATATTAGGTAAGCTAAGAGACTGGAGGCAGGGGAGCCATGGTAGGTTTGAGAAAGGATGAAAAGGTTTTTTGGAAGAGCTGCTATGGTGAGTGGGATAGCGAGTTAAGAAGCGTAGAAGGATTCCCTTGCCCGAGTGAGGGCCCAGTTAAGATTATGATGAGGTTATGAAGTTTTATATACTCTAAATTTTAGTGGACCCAGTTGTCATGGTTTCATGATTTTCTCCACTTTCATTGGCATATATATTGAAGTAACGTTGAGGACTGGAGTGATCCAAGGCTAATGCTTGGCAGAGCAAATTATGATAAGAGGACAAAAAACTCAGAAGAGAACAGTATGCAATTAAATTAGTTCACCAAGGCATTAAGATGGGGAAAAGAGTATAGTTAGTATAAATGTGATAGCCTGGGATAGACTGAGGGATGGAGTGATTGGAAAGCATGGTGTGGATAAAAAAGCAGGGTTGGGAATTGTGAGGCAGAGGGAAAGGTGAAGTGATTAATCCAAGGCAGATAGGAGTACAGCTAGGAAATGTGTGTGAACCCTTCATAGGTTTTGAGCTGGCATAACTTTGATAGACATTGGGAGAGTTTCTGCTCATCTGATATGTTCCTCTATATTCCAGTGCCAACTTCATACCACAGTGAGGCATTAGAATAGGACTTAAAAGGAAGAAGTAGCTCCTTTTACAGAAAATACAGAAAATGTATTAGAAAACTTTCCTGTTGCCACTCACAGAGATAATGCTTTGGGTTGTTATGGCTGCTTTCATTCTGAAATCTCCAAGAGTTTTCACATTTTCCCTGTAATTTTCCTCACAGTTCCATAATAATAATAAACTTATTAAGCCTTATATAATAAAAATAAAAAACTCCAAACACTATTAATTACGGTCTTAAAATATTTCATAGGGCTGTCATTATATTTTCCAACTTAATATTCATTCTGTATAGACGATAGTCTTCTGTGTATTTTCTTTTAACAAAAATCTATTAATATTTCTTGGTTTTGTGTCACCTTCATTTCTGAATATATAATTCTTTTCCTCTCAAGAGAGCCATAATTTGTAACAAAAACCCCTCCTCCCTCCCCAAAAGGGGAAAAAACATTTTCACAACATTTCCAACATCAATTCAGTCTGACAATATATGCAATATTATACATCCATATGCCCCCACCTTTGAAAAGAATGGCAATACAATTTCTGCTCCCTTCTTCAGGGCCAAGATTGATCAAGAAAATGTCATCTTGCTAATTCTTTTAGATTATAACTTTTCCAAAAAATAGTAAATGAAGAAAAATCATTAATCAAGAAAAAGTACCAAAAATTCTGATTCTAGCCAACTCATTTCTGTATTTGCTTTACTCTTCTATTTTTTTTTTAATTTACACTGAACATTTTTATTTCCTTATATGTTCATTAACATTGGTATCCCCTTCAGTAGCCTTATTTCAGTATTGTATCTACTTTTTGTTATGGTATTCCTTATTGCTAGCATTGACATAAAGCAAAACTGTGAAGTCAATAAAGCTTGCCTTTGGTGTCCCTCCCTTCCTCTATCTGTCTCCAGCTTTCCTTCCTCTCTACTCTTGCTCTGCCTCCATATTCCCCTACTCCTACTGAATGGGAACTACAAATCTTTTCAGGAGAAAAATTGGGATTATGGGTGTGGCATCTTTCGTAGACTATTAGGTTTAGTCACAGTCAGATGGTTTTCCTTACTGTTTCTTTGCAACAAGGGAGGGCTTGCAGTGGAGAGGTGAGGGTGACCCATAGATATGTCTGGAAATCGCTGTCATTGAAAACAAAAGATGGTAATAAAATTCATTATATTATTAAAAATAAATAGGTACTTTTCATCCTCATGCTTCACTTTCTAGGATTCTTTAATTCACGCCTGCCCAGCTTGGAAAATGTCTTCTTTAAAACAGTCTTTCTTTATTCCTTCCAATTAAAAAAAAAAAAAGAAAAGAAAGAAGAAAAAAAACTGCCCTCATTTAGCTGTCACATTGGGAAAAATTACAAAATTAATTCCTTTCAATGATATGATTGATAAAATGAGGCACCCCTCAGCACAGTCCCCAAACAGAAGAATTATCAAAACAATTTCCTGAAATTGCTTGCATTAGATAAATTTCTTCTGCCACCACAGCATTTCTAGAAGAAGAATTTCCCTTCTGAAAACTGTGCTCCTAGAATTCATGACCTTTGCATTGTGACCATTTGCAAAATAGCACATTCACAGTTCATTCAGGTAAGTAACTGTTTTCACTGTGAGAAGTAGTATATTTTATTATATAAAATTAACATTTTACCCAATCTACTCATGACAAAAATTAAAAAACCAAAGTCTTTTTCCAATTTTCCTATTGTCATTCTTCCAAGCACGTGCACATAAAGGTTTAAAACTGATTCTGGAGGGGTGAGGGGGAAAGAATAGGACACGCTTGTGAATTTAATCTGCGTCATTATC